CATTTGAAAGTGGCAGGCGTGGACCCCCACCACCTCCAAGAAGCAGAGGCCTTAGAGGTGGAAGAGGAGGCAGTGGAGGAACCAGGGGACCCCCTTCACGTGGGGGGACACATGGATGATGGTGGCTATTCCATAAATTTTAACATGAGTTCTTCCAGGGGACCACTTCCAGTAAAAAGAGGACCACCACCACGAAGTGGTGGACCTCCTCCTAAAAGATCAGCTCCTTCAGGACCAGTTCACAGTAGCAGTGGAATGGGAGCCCCTGTATCACATGGAAGAGATAGTTATGGAGGACCACCAAGAAGGGAACCCCTGCCCTCTCGTAGAGATGTGTACCTGTCCCCAAGAGATGATGGCTATTCTACTAAAGATAGCTATTCAAGTAGAGATTACCCAAGTTCTCGTGATACAAGAGATTATGCACCACCACCAAGAGATTATACTTACCGTGATTATGGTCATTCCAGTTCCCGTGATGACTATCCATCCAGAGGCTATAGTAATAGAGACGGCTATGGTTGTGATCATGACTATTCAGACCATCCAAGTGGAGGCTCCTACAGAGATTCCTATGAGAGCTCTGGTAACTCACGTAGTGCTCCACCTACACGAGGGCCCCCGCCATCCTATGGTGGAAGCAGTCGCTATGATGATTACAGCAGCTCACGGATATGGTGGAAGTCGTGACAGTGACTCAAGCAGCCGAAGTGATCTCTACTCAAGTGGTCGTGATTGGGTTGGCAGACAAGAAAGAGGGCTTCCCTCTTCTATGGAAAGGGGGTACTCTCCTCCATGTGATTCCTATAGTAGTTCAAGCCGCGGAGCACCAAGAGGTGGCGGCCGTGGAGGAAGCTGATCTGATAGAGGGGGAGGCAGAAGCAGATACTAAAAACAAACGACTTTGGACCAAAATCCCTGTTCAAACAAACAAACAAACAAAAAGTGGAACCTATTCTGTCATAACTACCCAAGGACTCTTAAAATGAAAAATTGTGTTACTTAAAAAAAAAATTCCTGTTAAGTACTCCTCCATAATTTTTATGTTTCTTGTGAGGAAAAGGTAAAGTAAAACCTGTTT